CAACTTACGCTGCTATTATATGGATAAATATTATTCGCGAAATTAAATTTTAGAGATTTTCTTATATACATTAATTTAATAATTTATTCAATTTGACATTAACCAATTTAGAATGGTATGGAAATATGCTTTTGTTATTCAATTCTTTTGTATAAAAATTTCATTATGGTCATCGTGCAGTGAATAAATTGAATTATAAACAATAATTATTAACATGAACAGTGCGTGTATGTGTAGACAAGTTTTTTTTTTGTTGAATGACTTTTTAATTTTCACATACTTTCTTTGTATAGAAATTTGTATATATAAAAGGGTGAAAGGAGGGTTATGGTTTCTGTATTGTAAATGGTAGACAATGTCATTGCACGGAATTGTGTTTGTGCGGTTTAATTATGCTCTATTATTGTTAGTTCAAGTTCAAATGAATTAGATATTTGAAAAAAAAAATTTCCTTATATTAGATTATTAGTCATGCTATTATTATTTTTTTTCAAGATTCAAAGGGAAGTATTTTCTTTATCAGATATAATTAATAGTCTTGAAGAATGTTTCCGACTTTAGTTAAATAATTTTGAGACTTATTTATAATAAGCTTAAAAAGTTGAGAAAAAAATTAAAAAATATTTAACTTTTGCGAGTATTGTAAGTATTGTAATCTCAATGTATGCACATATGTAAATTTATAAATTATCCTCTCACCACCGATATGAATATTTTTCAATAACATGTTTCTCAAGTTTTGTATATTATTTGTATAAAGTTGAAAAAAAAAACAAATTGTGGACTGGGGTCGGTTTTTCAAAAAGTAAGGATGATTTTTTATAAATTGCCAGAAGTTTCTTATTGTCCCTGGCAACATTTTCAAAAGTATTAGAAACTTTCATAAAGGCGATACTGCGAAAAAATAATGTGACAGTTGTATAAAAACTGCGGCTATTTTTAATTCCCATTGTTGTTCCAAGTTTGTGAACAAAAATTTTCTAGTTCATACATTTATGTTTCCTTACATATATCGTCTCTTTCGCTCTAAATATTTTGCTTTTAATCGGATTAATGGCCTTTAATGGAAACAATTTTGGTGTTCGGAAGGCAGTATCAATCAATTTGTATGGTACTAGTACTATACTAGTAATAGTACATAGTAAAACCCCAGGCATTTCAAAATGTGAAATAAAACAAAAGCTATTCAGCTGATTTAACTGCGCTAACCATGATAATTTATACACTTATTTTTAGTAAATTAGAATTGCTTTTGAACACACTTGGTTTGCAGAATTTTTTATGAACATCAATATAGCGCAGTTTTTGCTATATATTGCGATATGAAAAAGCCTGTTAAGTTTCTAAATTCTACCTTTGAGGTTTTGACTTCATATCCCAAAAAATTTGGTTTTGGCTGCTTTCGTGCATATAACGTTAGTGTTGACTATGTAAAATTTATGACATATGAAATGCATATGTATATAAAGCGTAAGTATTTGTTGCAAAAACGAACTCACCCATAATGAATATTGTTCTCTATAAATGTTTAATTGCTATTATCTCTCCATACACTATTAATTGCAATTCATTTTAGTATTGCCACTTGTATTGAATTATTTTTCATGTTGAGCTATCAACCACACTGTTTTCCATTATTATTAAATGTTTTGCATAGAAAATTTTTATTATAAAATTTCAATTTATTCAAAATTTCTAATTTAGTATGTATATTTGCTGTTAGACGAACATGAATGAAAGTACATTTTTACTATACAAGTTAGTTACTCTTCAACTAAAACTAGTTTTAATTTTTAATTTAATAAATTGCAAAAAAAAAAAAAACACAAATATCTCTAAATCTCATCAATGTTACTCTTTTTTTTTTCAACAACATTTTTTTAATTTCACGTCATGATTTCATATTTATGGTAATGTAACTATGCATAACTAACTACATATATTGAAAAAAAATAATAATAATTTTAATTTTCGTAATTTTATTATTAAGTTGGGGCAGTATTCCGTAACTTACATTGAATTTATAATATAAATATTTTTTGTTCTAATTTTAACATTACATTCCATAGCATATTCCTCCCCTATTGGGAGGTCATGTGATGCCACTAAATTTTGGATGTTGAATTTTCGGTGGGCACCCACTTTCTCACAGTAAGGTAGCGTAAATAAACTATTTTTTAAGAGACATGCTTCTGGCTGACATGGTTGAGATAAATAGAAAGTTCGATTAAACCAGTTTTGATAAAATTTTATATGTAAGTTTATTTCGGCTATGTCACAGATTGATCAACTTTTGAGATACATCAGGTCTCGAGAACTATGAACTTAAATCTGTTCACCCCTTCATATCAAGTTTTGGCTATCAGTTTTCAAAATAGTTCATATAATTTTGTTTTTTTTTTTTTTAATTTTTAGTACGTTTAAAATTTATAGTTGGTAAGCGTACGTCAGGCTTCAAAATTCGAACCTTTATTAGGACGGGTTGATTTTACATTTTTGATCATTTTTAAGAACTATATCGATTTTGAAGCAATATATATTGCAGAATTGTCAACTAACTAAGAATTCATGGTGCTTAAACTTGATATTCGTACCAAATAAGAGATGTATTCTACATTTTTGACCAAACATTAAAGTAAAATAAAATTTTATAACAATTTCACCCCTACCATTATTAAATTATGAAATTTCTCCTCATCTTTTTTACGTCGTATAATAAATTATTTTTACTGTTGATATCTTAATAATTGGAAATTGGGCTTGGATTTTTTTTTAATATTATCCTACTTATTTTTGTTATAATGGAAATGGTAATTAAGTTATAAACGCGAAAATTTATTGCAGCTTAAAGTATTTTCAATATATTTCTCTTAACATTTTCATTATATTTATGTACATATGTATATATGTGTGTATGTTGTTATATAGTCACGTTCAATTGTGTGTATATATTGCGAGAATTTTTTTTTCCAATTCATTTTTTGTAACTTGTTTTTCTCAATTCTATGAAAAGTTTTTTAAAATAATTATGTTTTTTTTTTTGCGATGGTGGTCCATTTACCTTGACCACATTTATGTTTTTTTACTCACGTGTCTTTGTGTAAAACCAGAAAATAAATTTATTTCCACAATAGTATAACAAATTCATTTGCTATTTCGTAAAGATTTTGCTATCTATGAACGTCAAGTAATATAGAATTAAGACAAGAAATTAATTTTGGTGTTACTGGTTTGACTTTTTTGTTTTTAAGTTTTCTCTATATGTACTTAATTTCCTAACACTAGTATAACACTTGATTTTTTTAAAATTATTAATAGTAGAATATGTTGTTTATATTGTTGATGTGTGTGTTAGTATACGAACTAAAATTTAAAGTTCGTGTGTGTTGTACGACTTATAATTATAATTTCATATTATTTGCACTTATTAAGACAACAGTACAGAATTAATTTACCCACTTTATAGAAGTATTTAGCATTTAGATTTATAATTGTATAAAAGTGTTAACGCCTATACAGATTTCATTTTCATATTTAGAAAAATATTTAATTGTGGCCGTTTTATGAAGTAGAATTCTTTTAAAAATATTACATAAATTAATTTTAAAAGTCAATAAAGCGAATAATTAGTGTAATAAAAGCAGAAACGGAAAAGAATTTTTTACTATTGTGAAATACAAAAATATGTTTTTGAAAGTGAAGCGGTTGATTTATTTTCAGACACTTTTTTTTTCTTGTATTTAATGCAAGAACATTGAATGTAAAACTGTTATATGTAAAATTGTGACAAGTTATGAATTGGTGTAGCAAACGTAGCTAGTATATTTCCGTGAGGTATGTTGGGGCGAAGACAATTTCCATTTATATTTTATATTTGCAATTTAATTTTAAACTAGGCAATCGTTGTAGTTATTAGTCAGTAAATCTACTCAATTAAACATATGTATATGTATATGTACCAGGTATGTAGTGTGACACAATTAAAGAATGATAAGAAACACTAAAGTTAATAACTATTTATTTGATGCATGATAAAGATAAACTAGAAGAGAAAATAAAAAACTAATGATAAAAATAAAATAAATTGGTTGCAATTTTTTAAAGAAATTTGTTACAATTTTTTTAATTTGATATTCTAAGACTTTTAAGCTGAGATGCAGTTAGGATATTGATGATTTTAGTATTGTAATAGATTTGGTATTGTAGTTCACCGAAATTCTGTTAATATTGCAAATAAAATTTTTATGAAGTAAATCTATATGAGACTGTAAATTTAGTTAAATGAACAGTTCAATGTAAGTCTATTGAATTGCTAAGAATCACTAATAGAGAAACAGTTTTATTTTTGGCTCCTATTCGCATATTTTATTCGATTTTGATCATTCATCATTAAAGTTCATAAACTCTTGCTTATAAATTACCTTGATTAGTAGTGTTCTAATATATTCTAATGTCAAAACAAGCAGCCATTCTTCAATGGCTTACAAAGTTGAATGTTTCCAAAAAGAAAACTATAAATTTTCATTTTAATAACAAATCCATTGTTGTTTTTTTTTTTTTAATATAAAAATATTTAATTTCGGCACCATAAAATAAAAAGAAAAGTTAAGTAGCGATAAAATGTTATGTTTAATTTTTGTTTTTTGCCTTATCTTTAATATCTATGTGTCATTTAAATATTTACCAATTTCTGATGATAAGATATTCGCGATTTAATCGTCCATTTACCATTACTTATATCGAAAATTTTACTTTTTCTTATCAAAGGGCTGTTATCGCTGTTATCACTATCAATTCAAAATGCTATGAACTAAATTTTTTATTTTATTTGATTTTTGTATGCGCGCACTATTTTAAATTGACTTTTAGTAATTTCGTAATTTTCTATAGTCGTAATCAAAAATCTTTTGATTAATAAATAACTATTTCAATTTATTATAATTATTGAATATTGTATTTTATTAAAAAAATTTGACTAATTTTTCTTTTTTATTTTTCAGATTTTAGTAAAAGATTTCAGTAAGTATTCAAAAGTAAACGATTATAAAATTATATTAAATAAATGGGATCTTTGTTTTATATTGAATTTAAACTATCAATTTGCTAATAAGAATATGATTTTCTATTGCAAATAGGAATTTGAATTTTAAATTACTTATAGAAGCTTGTTAATTGTGTAATGGCTTATTTTCTCCATTGCTGAGATTCTATTGCAATTAGTGCAGAACAGCTGTCACAGGAGCATTTGTCGACTTTCAACTGTATAACAGAGGGCTTAAAAAATCTGAAAATCGCTATAGCTTCTGAAATGCCAGATTATTGAAGGATACAAACCTACATATCCATTCATTTCTATCTATATAAATTATATGTAGTTATAGTATAGATAACGATTAATATTTTCTTATAGGAGTCTTGTTTTATTCAAATCAAAAAAACTAATACGGGTAATTAAGTTCATATTTTTTTTGTTATTTAAATTTTAAACGAAAACAAACGCAATTGATTAACATTTTTAATTTTTACTTTTTATTTTTAAATCAATATAAAGGTGTTCAAGTGGGAGTATTGCCAAGTAAATTTAATTTTTTTTTCCTTTGAATTGAGTGTATAGGTATTTACGCCAATTTTATTTAAATTTTTAAAAAATTACGTACATATATGAACGCTGATCGTTCATTAATTAAGCGTTTTTTTTCTTATAATTTTCTCCTTATTTATAAATTTATTGAACATACATATATGAACGATTTCAATGCCGGACACGAAATTCACTATACTTACACATTATAAAAATTTTATTCACAATATCAAAAAATATAAAAATAAAAAATTCATTTAATTTAACCAGAAATAGAAATGCATTGTAGGTAATTTGTGCATATTTGGAATTCAATAATGTATTCAAAAAGATACAAAAAAGAAAAACAAAAGAATTTTAAAATTAAATAAAAATAAAAGAATAAAATAACGCAAAATCCATAAAATATTTTCAGTTGCATTGCAATTTTTCAAGTATAAAATCAAATTTGTGAATTTTTATCATATGTTTGAGTGCATTGCAGGGGGGGAGTTTTCTTATCATTGCTCTCGCTATTTTTTACAAAAATTTTTATTTTGACTTGAGCTGCATTCAGAAAACCCTTTTAAAAGCTTTTCAAAATATTAAAAAAGAATTTTGTTTTCTTGAATTTTCATTTTCAACAAAATTTTTAATGTGCAAGCAATAAAATCCCTTAAATTTTTCTATTAAATCGATTTTCTAAATGTAAAATTTATAAATTTATTCGTATATGTTTTATTTTTAACTTTAGATTTAGGTCGGAAAACTTGTAATGAGAAAATAAAGGAAAATAAAAAAATTTTATAAGTTAAAAATAAAAATTAAATCGAATAAACGGTAAAATTTTTTTTTTATTTCACATTCATAAAATTACTTGGGGTCCGAATTTTTTTTTTTTTTTGCGCCCAGGCGGATCGATTTTATCGTACAGTACAAAAAATAAAAATTAAAAAATAAAATACGAACAATTCAACTACGTAAGCAAACAATATTTTCCTTAAAGAAGAAAACAACCAAATAAAAAAAAAGACAAAATAAAAGGGAAAATAAAAAAAAAAATTTTTTTTATTACTGTGAAATGGGGTTAAATGAAAATGCCGTAACGGAATAGTTACAATCCCGTTATTACGAAATACCAGTGTTAAATACACAATTTAAACTAATTTTTCAATTCGAGTAGTTAATGAAAATGAGACGGTGGTGGGGTTTGTTCGGTGTCAGTTTATTTTTAAACTCTTAGGAGAGAAGCTTCTTAAGATATTTTTCTTCCTTACTTCTTTGTTAGAAAATTATTTACTTAACTCTAGACTAAATAATAACAGGTAAGAAAAGAGTTTTAAATAGTAACTGAAAATTAGTTGTCGCTTTATTTTAAAATATAAAAGGGTTTAGGTTAAATTAACCTTGGTTTTAGCAAATAAAGATTTTATTAATACTTTACATTCCATTTTCATTTGTGTATTCTTTCGACGGAAATACTTGTAAGCAAATTATTTTGTCTCTCTGTGCAGAAATAACAAAATTTATCGAACAGCTAAATTTTGTGAGTGATGCCCTACTTTTTCAGAGTGATTCAAATTATAACTTGTAATTAGATTAAATTCAACAATCTTTATTACAATACTCTAAAATTTTTTTGACTCGACGTTCATAAGTCATTGTATTTGATTATGTTATTAAACTATAAATAGCACTATGATTCGATAATTAACTATCACAATTCTATTTCGTGTTTTATTTTGAGATTTACTGAATAATTTAATGATGCAATATGAGTTCTGAATTTAAAAGAGCCGCAGTATTAGCAATAAAATTAAAAATTACTAAAATTCTTAAATTCCAATTTGTTAATTTGTATTAAGCTAACATTAAAACAAAACTGATGTTAGTCAAAAATGCGGTAAAAATTTTTATTTTATAATTAAAAGAAACTCGCCCCATTCAACGGTAAAGAATACTTTATTTTTTCATTTTATTTATTTAAATTTTCATGTTATGTACGCTTTTCTTTCGAAATTAATTGTTAAAAATAAATCGATGTTTCGTATACACATACATATATATATATATATATATATATATATGTATATATAAGTATGCATTCCTGCAATAAAACACTAAACTTTTTAAACAAAGTAAATGAATGCATTTAAATTTCATATACGTAGGTACTTTGATATCTTTGCATTTTTTATTTATTTAATTTATTTTAATATTGAAAATTAAAAAAAAATTTTGTTTGTTATCGCAACAAATTTCGATATTATGTACAAATAAAATGAATTCACCTGAAAAATTTAATTTGATTGAGTTTATGAAAGCAATAAAGAACCATAGGGAAAGTTGAAATTATATTAAAATTGCTTGTGCATATTTGTAATTTACGACATTCTTACGATATTTTTTATTTTTATAAATTTGCATTGATTAATGTTTATTTTACTAATTTAATTTTTTGATTAAGATGAAAATAATATTTTTCGTCATATTTTTAATCGTTTTTAGTACATATTTTCAAGAAAATATTGAGAACAACATGTTAATTATGATTTGATCTACCCTCCGTTCGCCCGTACATTTGTTTGCAAAAAATTTCCGAATTTTAATACGAAAACTTTTTGAATTTTAACATATAAACGCAAATGGTTCCTCGCGACAAAAGTACCTCACGTACTTTGTCTTTCTCCATATATTTTATATATTTTTCCAACTCACTCCTTCCAGGTTATCGACTTCCAAATATGTGACAGCTTTCATCGCGACGTAATAATATTTTTATCTTAAGTGACCTGATAAGATCGAATTCGAACATTATTGTTAGACTTCTTAAAATTTTTGTTTTCGTCCTAAAACTATGCAATAATTATTTATTGTTTAATATAAGCCATGATTTGATCCGAACTTATCCGTTTAGTCAGAGATTTTGTGTAGCTTTATTGCAATTAAACATTAGATTTATTTATTATTATAAATAAATCTACAGTAAACTAATTTTATTAAAATTAGAAATGTTTTAATTTCAATGATTTTTTTTCATAACAATAAGAAATAAATTTTGCAGAACAACTTTAATTGTACACATATTGTATGCAAATAATTTCATACATAATTAATTAAAAAAAAATTGTATATTTTTAAAATTGGATTTCTACCTTAATTATATTTGACATTTACAAATTTCAAAATACAAACATACATACATTCATATGCATATTAATATACATAAATTATAAATATTTAATAAGCAATAAAATTATTATAAAAATATAAATAAAAATATTATTATTGCTCTGAAATGATTAATTTTGAAATTAAAAAATAAAATTTTCTTTCTAATTCTAAAAAGTCTTAGAAATAAAAATAGATCAGCGTTATCATCACCAATTATGAGTGCTATATGTACATACCATATATAATATACAAGGTGCAATACAAGGTAAATTTTTAAACTTTTTCCTTATAAATTCTAATACTAAGTATGAAGGTTATCTCCTTAAATTAATTTTTACTTGTTGATGAAAAGTGTCAAGCTTTTAATGTCCAATTAAAATGAGAATGAATTTCAAAAAACAAAAAAAAAAATGATGTGTGGTCAACACATAACCGACCACATTCTTAAAGTGTTCCTTTAAGTATTTGTTTCAAATTTCAATACCTCAACTAAGAATCAAACGTAAAACTGTTCCTTATTAGTGATTTATTTTCCGTCACCTGATTTCTCTGCAAAATTTCTGAATAGAAGTTCTGTATATTAATTCCTGAGATATGATCGGTTAAGTAAGATGTAAAATCGGCCTTGAGTGAAATTTCTGTTTCCGAGCCTTGATATTCAAGAAAAATTTATTGGTTCATTGGCTTAGTAACCAAATTTTAAATATGAATTTCAAGTAAATTGGTTGATTATTTCTGTCTATGTGAGCAAAAATGTAATAAAATGTATATACGACTTGTTGTAAAAGCCGTATATACATTTACTGACATCTGATTTCGTTCACTTACTGACATCTGATTTCGTTGAAAAACAAGTTGACCTATTGTATTTTAAATATAATCAAAAACGTAAAATCGCTCTATAGTAAAGATCAAGTTCCAGAGACCTGACGACGTATCCTAAAAGTTGATCGAACAAGTCAGATATCAATTTTCGTAAAAATCAGTTCAGACATTTTTGTAAAATATTTTATTTACACTTCAGCATCGAGAGATACATTTCCGCAGAAATTTGTTGCAATCACATAACCTCCCTTATCGTAATGCAATCGGTAAAAATAATGATCTTCAGTAATAAATTTAATAAATAATTTTAATAATAAAAAATAAATTATAATTAAAAAATCTTCGTTTGCCGCAGTTGGCATGAATTAAAATGCGTAATTTAATTAAAACTCTAAATATAAGAGAAACATAATTTTGATTTCATAAGAGATAGTAAAATTTTATAAATGAGTACCCGAAT